ATTCAGAAAATTACAAAGATAATTGAATACTCATGATTCAATTTGTCATTCAAGAATGAATATATTATTTTGCCATTTGATACATTTTATTCATATATGTTATTAACATCTAATATATTTTGTTTATTATTTACTTGCATTTGAGAATTTAAACTTTTCTCATTTTTATATGATGCTTGCATCTAGGTGTGTATAATCAAAATAGTAAAGAAAAGCCTTTTCACAATATGATAGGAAAAGTGGAAGATGACTTGATTAGTAAGAAAAATTGTTTACAGCAAACATTTTTTATTTTAAAGTAAATTGATGTTTATCAGAATTTTTTGTGTCTCTGAAATTATTGTCTTTATATTTTTGCTCAAATTTTTTTTTACAGAAATTTTTTTTTTTAATTTGTGATGACATTACTGGCTGCATTGTTTTACAGTTAAATGTCAAGAAGAAAAAAAATAATCATACTTTAGTCATGAAAGCTTCATTTATATTTTTACTTTTAAAATGTGAGAATGTTTTCAATGTCAAACAAAGTGGCTAGTTATAACCTACAGAGGAAATTTTCAACACACCAAACTTAATAAATTTTTAGATATAACAGATTTGTTGTATTAATGAATTAACATTTCACCTGCTTCTTCCTAATGATTGATTCTATAAACAAAATGTGTTTTCAGGGATTCTTTTTAAATCAGTATTTAAGGAAATTAAGTTATCATTATCACTGGTCATTCTCATATCTGTTCAATAAACTGTAAATAAAACCAAATCATCTTTAAATCTTATTCAAATTAAATCCACTCCTAACTATTGATCATTCAGAGATCCTCTTATGATATTTTCAGTAATTATGTATAATCTATCATAGGTACAAAAAATTGATTTCCTTTACTTGTTAAACACAAAATGGCTTACAGTTTACAATTATAGACTGAATTTTCTTTTTAGTTTTGTTATGAATTAACAAATAAAAACAAACTAATAAACTATAAAAGTGATACTGCAATTTTGGATATTTTGTCTTAATTTCAGAAATGTATAACTAAAAGTAAAATCTGTAAAGGTCAACAAAAATAAGATTTGGTAATAAAATGATAAAAATATGTAACTTATTTTATTTCCAGAGAGGAATTTCATCTTGAGAAAAATTTTTATGGACTATCTGACAGTTTTTTCTTCTAAGTTATATTTTCTTGAATTCTTTTACAATTTGAGAATGATACTAAAAAAGAAAGTTTAAAATTTAATATTGCTCTAATATTATTATTATTCTTTTTCTATTATTGTTGTAATGTTTTGTTTGTAATGCTTTTCAGTTGATACATTATAAATATGTTGTACTCAAGAGGAAGATACAAAAAATGTACAAAGCAAAACCTAAAGATTGACAACAATAGTGAAGCAAGCAAGAAGTAAAGACAAAGAAAAATTTATATGAAATATTAAACTATCAAAATGAGGATAATAATTAAAAAAAATATATTATATGTGTATCTTATTGTTTTTGACTGAGAAGGCCTGTTTATTCAATTTCTTTATTATATTTTATATGAGTAAATGTACATGTAAATTAAATTTACAGAAGTTTAATTATTTTTTTTTTTTTTGAGTACTTTCAACCATTGGTTGTCATTATCAAAATTGTTAAAGTTTTTTTTTTGTAGTTACAATAAGGAAAAGTTTTTATTATGGCATTTTGTCTTTTTTTAGTAATGGCATAATTTTAATCTAAATGTACATGTATTGTTGAATGCAACTGATATCATGTATAACGGGTTGTAATGATATGTAAAGGATATTTTTAAAAACATCCATTGTGAATCATAGAGAGACAGACAGACAGAGACAGTCTCTCTTTATAATTAGTAAAAAAAGTTAAAAAGCAGTTAAAAATAAGGATATAAAACGACAATTTCCAAAGCAAACAAACCGTTTTTCCCAATTTAGAAGATTATGCAGATTAAAAAGATTATCATTCTATTACTTTGTGCCGGACTAAATTGAGTAAATATAGGAAACGAGAGTTATGTCCCTTAAATAATATTCATGCTTCCAGTTTTTATTTTTCAGACTGCCACAGATTATTATCCCTTAACTTTCGTTGTCAGATTGAAGTTTCAAAATATATTTAAACTCAGTTATCAGTGTTATTGGGTTCATAAACAAAATCCCAATTTTGTAATCTATTAACCTCATTTTTGTAATATTTTACATTCCCCTTAATTTCTGATGTTTGTTTTTATACTGTTAAAATTCTTCTTTTGAATAGAGTTGACAGAAATTAGAGAATCCATATTATATATTTTGGAATTAGTTACCAATTACTTTCTATTGGAATTAATTTTATTTTCTACTTAATTCATGAAACATATTCACTTTTATCAGTTATAAAATATATTAAAAACTTATTCTAGATGAAAATCAAAACTAAAGATTTCTTCACAACAAAGCCTGTGCAAAACATTATGTAATAGAATTTCAGTCCAATAATTTTAAAATTGCTTTTTATAAAAATAAAATAAATTTAAAGAATATTAACATATTTAGTCAGTTACACAAATTATATAATCAAAAGATACTTATTTTTCTGGTCATACATAGTGCCAAGAAGGTATCAGCCTGACCAAAAAGAGATGAGAAAAATAAAATAAAACTTCTGATGTTCAGTCATTTGTGGGAGTGGATGAGGTTAAGAACTTTTCAGCACTCTTCTATATAAAGATTTTCTCACACACTCATTTTCTTTAATTAAATATTGTGAAATGCTTTTCAAGATGGTATAAAGATAAGTACTGAATTAATTTTAGGATTATAAATTAATTTTTCACTTTCATTTGCTATTTTATTGAAAGATTTGTCATTCTAATTTGAAAAAAAGTTATTGAAAATTCTATATCTCTATGCAAAATCACATCCCCACTCCCAAACCTTTTGAACAAGAATAGATGATTAACCCTTGTTTTCTGTTTAGGATTGATTTTCTAGTTAAAGTCTCTTCCTTCTCTTTCACTTCTGGTGGCCCCTTGTATCTTGATGGCATTATCACATATGTTTTGATGATGGAAATGCAACAGTAACTGAACAAAATAAATAGACATTTTTACTTCATTAAGAAGTTGCCTCTTAATTTACTTAAAGTTTACTGAAACAGCTATTTACTAATATATAAATTTATCAAATAATAATCCTGTGTTAGCATACCATAGAAGTTGTTTTGGTACTGTTTCTTTGAGAATGGGAATAATTATAATCAAATTCTCTCAAGTTTGATTTATTCAATGTTTAGTTTAAAATAAAACGCACACACAAAAAATGAGAACCTTTATTTTAATTAAATAAGGCTACGAAAAAAGATTTACCTCTCTGAGCCAAATACTGCTGAAGAGTTTCTGCTTCTGTAAGGGAAATAGTCTTATTATTGTAATTAGAATCAATTTTGAGAAGTTGAAACCCTTCTTATGACGAGGTAAGCATCAGCTTACCTGGTCATGAGAAGGGTTTCAGCAGACTGTAATATTTAATGTAACACTAAAAAATAAAATTCAATATTTAATAGTTGAGAAATATATTCTGGAAAATATGGTGTATAAAATGCATCCTTATTTTGGAGAAAAAAAATAAAACTTCCAGTCATATTTGAAAGAAATTATTGAACAAAATTCCATCTGATATTTTAAAAATTAGTCTAAACAAAAAGGAAAGAACTGAAAACTTCAAAATAAATAAATACTGTAACTGAAAAAATGTATACTCTTATTTAATTTGGTTTAAGGCCTACAAAATCCTCATCGCTTCCACTATCACTTGAAAAGAAATGAGACATTTCATCATTAGATCCAATATTATGATCAAAGAGAACCTCATGCTCATTCCCATTTAATGCATTATTGTTTGCATATTTCTTAAATGACATAATCAGATTTGAAATCCAAACTGTTGTCATAAATAACACATTCAAAATTAGTAAACTATGCATGCCTATTTAAATATATGTACACATGTCTTATGTATATTATATATACCTTTGGTGTAGAGAATATTTGGATTTGGACATCAGATTTGTAAATTAAAAAAAAAAAAAAAAAATGTTTCTTATACACCAAAAAAATATGGTATATCCTATTCATAACTTACATAAAAAAAAAATGTGTAATTATAAGTTCAGTGAATCAATTTCTGGTTTATTTGAAAATGTTTTGCTACATTTGATTGGTTTAATGTCATTAGTATTTTAAAGCAGTAACTAGTCTGATATTTTCCCAGGGTCAAAGAATGAGTTTGTAAAACTTTAAAAGTCACTAAGGGGCATATTTTCGAAAGTCTCTAATGTTTTGACATTTTCCTTTCTAAATGGTAGATTAATTCATGAAATATTCATCAATTTTATGATGTTGTAATTTCATCTATTTTATAAACCTGTAAGGTTATTTGAAAATGTTTATTTCTAGAAATTTGTTATATATTTTATGGATATGTCCTGTGGACTTCTATTTGCATTATATAATCTAAAATTAATGTCACACTTGGTTAACTTTCCATTTAAATATTGAATAAGTTATACCTAGAGAAATATGTTTAAAGAACTCAAGATGATGTTACTATTTATATAGACAATAAATTCATATTAGCTGTATTATAAAATTAATCAGCACAATTGAACTTTATAGGTATGGTATACCTACAAATAAACATTGGCAACATACCAACTGAAACCTCTCACCATAGAGTAATAATTAATAAGGTAGTGTTAGAGGCTGTTATATTTGAAATAATCAATTGAAATGAATTGTTAAAATAATTTTGCTGAAAGAAACAAAGCATGACTCAAATATATCAAAAAAGATTCCAAATTACAAAAAAAAAAAAAAAAGACAGAAAGAAGGAAGAGATAAGTTAGTCATGTTTTCAGCATTGTACATCTGCCCACATCCAAAATAGTAAAAAGAAAAAACAATGTTTTAATTTTTCCCTAATATTCTTAACCCTTTTACTTTTGTTGCTTTTAGTTGCAGCTAAGTTTTGATGAATTTGACAACACCCTAAATGTCTTTGTGATCCAAGCCAGAAACCTTCTCCGTCGTGACTTCTCCGGACTTTCTGACCCTTTTGTGAAGGTTTATCTTTTACCCGGAAGAAGGTGGGTTGTTTTTAAATTATCTTTCTTCCTAATAAAAAATTATATTTGAAATAGCCTCCTTCAACAACCTTAACCTTATTTTCCAGCTATATACTTACTTATATATTGGCAATTAGCTCATTTGATGTTGCTCTCACCTATTTCTTTGCTGACAATCAATATACTTATTTAGTCAGGTAGATACAATGTTCTAGCCAATAGTTAAAAAAAAGTTGCTGCAATTTCCACTGTTATGATGAGGTGAATGACAACCAAGTAATTAGTTGCAAATAGGCTTGACAACAGTTGACAAATGGACTTAGATGCAGAAAAATCTGATCTCATGGTATAGAAGTGGGATGAGCAAGATAAAACTTAATTGCATTTCATGATTATTGAGAATTAAAAATGAGAAAGAACTAATTAAGAATGTTAATCAGTTTTGAGAAATTAGATGGTTTGAACTGCCCTTAAAGGAATTGGACCTGAATACTAACTAACTAAGAGCAAACATTGTAATTGGTTATGACCCTGTACCAATCCATTATACTTGATAGCTGGGCAAAAATGACACCAAGAAAAATTACTTTTTCAGCTCAAATCACAAGTTATTTCTAAAAACCCTTGAGATTAAGTTGTCTACATAATGACCTATCCAATAGATTTGGGGATTTGTCTAGCTCAGCTGAAGATGCTCTTATCAGAACAATTTTTGGAAAGTAGAATATCAGAACTCTGTCATGTGGTAACTGATCATGTACTTCTCGGAACAAAAAGAAGAAAAGATACTACTTTCAAATACTCATGTGACCAACAGATAAATTAGACTGTCTTTTGTTAAAATCTTCATTCATTTAATATTTCAATCAGTCTTTGTAAACTGTCAGTGACAATTTTTAACTTTTGTGTACACCAAAAAAAATGATGTCTGAAAGACGTTTTTTTCCCTTATTTTAAGTACCTTTACTCCTCTGCAATATTTATAGTTTTAAAAAGTGATTATTAGAATTGTAATAAAACCAAAAACATGAAAGTTAATTTATAGATTTTCTTTGCTCTTGAGAATTGACAATAATACATTTTATTAGATTAGAATATTTAGCAAAACATGGGCTATTTGTCAATTGATTTAAACTTTATAAAATCATAAATAATAAGAACTTCCTTATAGTAGGTTCACTTTTTTTTTTTTTAAATTTAATAAATATTTATAAATTTATGAATAAAAAATTGTTTTCATATTTATTTATTTATAAATTGGTAAATGATGAATTATTCTTGTAAATAAAGAATCTAATAAATAGTGTTTAATATTTTTGTTGTAAATTCCCAAGAACAAAAAAAAATGTAGAAATTCCCTTTCATCCTATGTTTAGGTTTTCTTACAATTCTAATCATCATTTTTTAAAACAAAACTTTGTCAAGGAGTGAAAGTAGTTAAAATAATTGCAATGTCAAGAAAAAAAAAATTTTTTTGGACACTGTTTTTTTGGTGAGCACAAAGATTAAACATTGTGCTGTCAGCTTTAGGTTTTTTTGTGTAACATATTGCTGTCTTGTCACATTTCAAATTTGAGCTTGGGAGTTCTGCAGATCTTATCTAATCACAGTATGAATAAAAGAGTCTCCAGACAAAGATCTTGTCTTTGGACAAATGACCAGAACACTAAACCTGTCTCCTTCAAGGTAGTACATTAGAAGACACAGGTTACTACTCAGAAACAGTAACAGAAAAAGCATCTATTAAATTTGAATCACAAATACTGTGCAAGTTGTCAGAATGTTTGGGTAGCACTTCTTACACAAGTAAAAGTTTTGTATGTTTAGTATGCAAAATTAATCTCTCTTGAAGATTTTTATTGCACACAATATAATTTTCTAAAGAATTAATGGATTTTTTTCTTAATCCAACAGATTTTTATCACTTTAAATGCTATTTGTAGTAGATACATGTATTTGAGTAGACACTCCATTTATTTATTAAACAGTATACTTATTTATTGACATCTACTGGCCTGAATTTTTGAGAAACCTTATTAAAGAGTAATATGCGATCTCTAGCAAGGTTCAAACCTATGTCCTCCTAGGTAGAGGGACCTGCTGAGATCTGTCGTGTTCTAACCAACAGAGCTATGAAGAAGTTAGCAAGGCCAAAATGGTGCTTTTAAGTGAAACTTTTCTCATCATAGATCTCTTAAAACTTTTCATATAAGCTCAGTTTTATACTGAATGCAATGCAATTTTCTAACATAATGGATTTTTTTATTAACCTAACAGACAGTGTAAATGCTATTTCTAGTGGGTACCCATATTTGAGTAGTTACTCTGTTTATTTATTAAACCGTATATTTATTTATGTTTGAATACTGGTGTAAATGTTTAAGAAATCAAAGAGCACATGTTTTTCTTTAAGAAGATTTCTCAAACATTCAAGCTGGTATAAGTAAAATAAGTAATATTCTCATAGACTAAATTTTGGTAACAGTATTTATGGTAAATTAAAATTACTGGTGAGATAACAGCAGGCTGAATTATATAAGTAGATGTGATATTCAAATCAACAGTGGGTAATTGAATGACAAAATAATGTTTTTCAATAACCAACAGCTTATTAGAATCATTTGATTTATAGTAATCAAATATATAAAATATTTGATTACTATAAGACTTCATTTATCAAGATATGTAAATTATAGTCATAAAATAAGTTAGGATTTTTATGAAGACATTAAATAAATTAGAATATGACTTCACTTTTTTTTTGTATTCAAAATATAAAGTTATGACTTTTTCTTATCATAACAAATTCTAACTAATGCTTTTCTTTGTTTATCCCCCCACCAAATTAACTATTTTACACTGTCCGAAATTTATCCATCAATTATCATGAGTAGAAGCTTACTATAAGAGCTTAGTGACAGCCATTATAATATTGAGCATATGTTTATTTTGTATTACTCCTGTCTTCTTGTCATGGAGTAAATTGCTTTAATTAAAATATAATACATAGAAACTTAGATATCAATATTTTCTTCTTGAAAAGAAAGATTTTGAAAAAGAAAAAAAAACATTTTGTTTTAAATATAAAAACAGTAATTTTCATTATATGTAATGCAAATAATTGTCCAAAATTATAAGGATTGACTTAAACACAAGAGAAGACTGTCTATATATTGAATGTACACATTGGTGTCATTAACTTGGAATTATGATATTTTAGTTTTCATCAGCTGATAATCTTCTAGTCTGGTATAATGTTGAAGTTGAATTATCATTAACACTGAATGATTATTATTTCACTCTACCTCCAATCTTTTTTTATTGTATTTTTATTAATATGACTTAGAATTTTGCTCCCATAACAGATGTAGTTTCTGTACTGATTCTTTAGGGTTTTTCCATCTTACATATACCAAATGTTTTTAGGTTGAACCAACTGTAAAAGATCAGTCTTAATGGAAATTGATATATATCCACAAATTTCATATACATTCATGATCATTGTTTCTAGTTTCATATCTCATAGCAGAAGTACCAGTTGTTTTGTCAGTAATAAAATGCATACTTGTCAGCTGTAAATGGCTTTATATGAGAATTTTTCTTGAAAAAGAGAAGTTGTTTTGCATGATGATGGGGTCTCTGTCGGGCTAATATTGCTGTAGACACACCACTATGGCTGCAGCACATGTGGCTTTTTAATGACCATAATGGGTTAAAGGACTTGTGATGTCCAGTTTATAAAGGTAAGACATCTTCAAAAATTTGTCAGTCTGTTGCACCATTGATAGCCTTTTGTCAGATTTGTAATAAACAGTGCACTGGGTTCTCTGGAACCCTTTGTACTGTTATGACAAAATTCTGTGATATTTGATGTTGATAAGTTCTTATTCATACTACTTGTGGATGTTGATGTTTTTCTACCTTGTCTTTTCAGCTTTTCAATATTCTGATATATACAGAACCAAAAGTCAGATCAGACCAAAAATGCAGTATTGATGCCATATCTTGGTTTGAAGTACCCAATCCTCTTTCTAGCCTTGAGGATAATGATTTCTTTTTCCACAGATGAAATGTAGCAAACCTCCTGCTGCTGTATCACTATTTTCATGGAAAATGCTCTAACAAGTGGCATTCTTTAGTTCCACCAGTTCAGACCTTTACAAATTAAGACATGCCATGTCATGTACACAGGGTTGAATCATCTTCATTCCCTTCATATTCCAATGATAAGGAAGTTCCATTTGAACAGTTTCTTCCCAAGAGCTGCTGCTTTGGGAAAGCATCCTCTTGAGTTTATTCTTACAATCAGTATGCTTATAACCTTGTCAAGTTTAGGGGTCAACTATTATGGATTGTCATAATTTGAAATTTTGACCTCCATAAAACAATGTCATTTAGTAACCCACTATCTTGAGAAACTCTTGAGCCTTGTATTAGGTGAACAATAGCATAAAAAAATAAAAATGTGGGGGTGGAGGGGTGAAAATAAAAAAGGTAAAACAACAACAACAACAACAATAAATTAATTAACCAATGATATTGAACAATTGATTTTTACAACCAAGTGATAACTTAGTTGTGTAGTAATTTATGGGAAACTATACAGTCACAAATCAAATTCTTGTTTATGAGCTTTTTCATGGATTTGAAATCGAAATAATTTCTCATTTTGTATTAATTTATTTTGCAGTCCTGATCACAAGCGTCGTACCCGATATGTTAGTTGTACCCTAAACCCTGAATGGCATCAGAATTTAGTCTTCCAGAACCTCAGCCGGGATGATCTTAAGAATAAAATTTTGGAAATCACAGTGTGGGATTATGATCGATTTAAGCCAAATGATTTCTTAGGTCAAGTTGTTATTGACCTTAATGGTAAGTAATGTCAAGTTTTCATTATCACATTATTTAATAACCTAATAATTTGGCTAATTGTGCATTTCTCTTTATTGAAATCATAAAAAGTTCCATCTAATTTTGACAGTAGGTAATCTTTTACACAAGGACAGCTGTCTAAGTGTCATAGCTGATTTGCATGCATTAGCCTGCTGTATATACAAACAACTTTTCCTTATAAAATATGCTGGCATCAAGTGAGCAAGCAAAAGACTTTTTTTCATGTCAGTACTTTGCAGTTATGTCAGTTAATGACTTAAATGATGTTATACTGTTCTTCAAATTTTGGATTCACTGTACATCAAAACCTGTTGGCTGCATGTAAACACTAAGCAAGCAAAAATAAAAAAAAAAGTTGTTCTCTGCATGGGTTCCGAGCATGTCATATGGCTCACAACAAATCTTCTTGAAAAACAATATACAATAAAATATCTCCATTGGATAATGCCTTCCTATATTTCTTAAATCTGACTTTCAGAGGATGGCTGCTTTCTGTCTCATTCTTTGCATCAATAAAATCTCATGTAAATGTGATAGTCATCCACTTATCTTTGTAAGAGACTAAAAAGTAACTTTAATATGATTGTGTTATTGAAAAACTTCCTGATGCTATAATATCTACAAATCATTCAGCTGCTCTTCTGACAGTGTAGTAGTGTCTAGAGTGTATCCAAACATTATCCCTTGTTCCCCTAAATGCCAGAAACCATATGGAACAGATCTGATAGTTGCACCTTTGAAGATATCGCTTTATGTGTTATTGTTTATTTTTTAACTTCTCACAATCACTGCTGACAAAATTTGTGAAATTCAGGCATGCCACTGTGTGTAGGTTGTCTTTTGAACCAAAGAAACGTTCAATGTTTCCATATGGACTTGTAAGCGTTAAATGGTATAGCAACAACAGGAGTAAGAAAAGGAATGAGTTTACTCATGTCAATAGTTTCATAATTACAGAAGGCATGCTCAATATGTTATTCTCTAGAAAAGGAGTTCTGTGCTAGTATCACAACTGAAGCAGAATCTGTGTGGATGAAGGGTGATTTCTATACTCTGTTGGATTCTAAGTGAAATCTTTGTCAAGATTCTTTGGATTATTAACAAACTGTCACTGCACAATAATCCTGGTATAATTTAATGAAACTTTGAAGAGAAAAGATCTTTTTTGTGAACTAGGAAGTTGACTGGTGATTTTATAACAAGAAAACATATTTTCAAAATTCTTTCAGCTCAGCATATTTTCTTCAGGCTTTCACTTGCTTAAGTCCCTGTATCTGAAAGTTAAACTCAAAAAATAAAATGGCAGTAACGCAGATTAAAATAGTGTAAAATTTTTGTATTAACCTAATATATTAAAAACCATTGTCTTTACCACAGATGAATGTTTCTTAGATGGAACCCCACATTGGTACCCTCTTTGCCAACAAGATGATAATCATAGCAGTACAGATTTGCCCAAGCCAACAGTTGGGCCACACAGTCTACGTCCATTGTCAACAACTGATATTCAACATGCTCACAAAGTTGGAGATTTCTCCTCACTTCCTCGCAAACAAGTTGGACGCTCTCATCATCCCCACCAGGTAAAAAATCCCTCTTATTTCTTACCAGTAAGTCTACATTGAAGAAGCACAATGTGGTGATATGTCTTTCAGGGACGAACTAGAAGTGCTTGCAACTTATCTTATATTCAAGTTAAACACAATACATATATGAAATTATATATGTTAACATTTTCCTTGATATTTATTTTCCAATCATTTCCTTGAAGACAGTTATTGTCAGCTGCTAAACTTAACCTTTTGTTTAACTAAACAAGCATGTTTACCACAATGAACTCTTGTGGCCTTGCAAGACTAAAATCATATTTAAAGAAAGAAAACGTCACTGATAAATTGTTGAGCAAGAATTTATGACTCATCTACATTTTTCATGAAATATGTTCTCTCACTTAAGTGAATCTTGTAATCTTTTACAGGAAACATGTGACATTTATTCCTCTCCCAATCTCACCATCAGAGCTTTAAGATGTTTAATTTTCCTTTATCCAGGTGTCTAATTCATAGTGAAAAGGAAGAGAGAGTTTCTTTTCACAAAATAGTATCTAGTATAGTGACTGGCTAAAGTCATTGCCAGTGTTGTGATCTGTATACCCAGATTTTTGTTGCTGAGTATCAGGATTCGAAACATTTAACAACCAATCTTTTAAGAAATATACAATAATAAAATATTCAATTTTCCTTGCAGTGAAGTTTGTGTATCAAGTAATTAAGTGTTCTTTGTGAAATCATAGACAAGGGCTTGGTTGGCAGCTGCTGGATGTCAATCCCTTTCATTGTGTGGGTGCATGTGTATATCAAATAGGCCTCCAAAATTGAAGTCCAACATGTGTATGCTTTTATTTTTATATGTGTAAGGGAGATTCAACATTTAATTTCACGAGTTAGAAAAGAATTTCCCAATGGCTTGCAAAACTCTTTTTTGTGAGAGGTGAAGAGAATTATTTTTGGAGAATTTACAAAACAACAACACAGAATAGGTCTACAAATTTTTGGCAGTATTTGCCCTTGTAATGATTGTTTATTGAGCAGCTTCTGATGGGATTTGATCAGTGGAAATATATAGAGTATTTAATTCCTATACCAGCAACCAGTATAGTAGAGCAGGTTAATTCTGAATATCTTATCAAACAATCACCTGAGTGAAGACTTTTATGCATCGTTTCCTTTAATTGTATTATGATCCTAGAATATTCTTTATTTCTTCAGAGATGAGTAAATTACTTTCCTGTTTACCACACCATGAATATTTCAAAGAAAAGAAACCGTATTAGAACAATACAATGAATATATTTCATAAGCCAAACATAATTAACAATTATTTGAGAAAAAATTCTTTGGTACTGTAATATAGATTTTTTACTGTTCAGTTTATCAGTTAATTATGAGTTCAAATAGATTTAGATGTGTGATAACATTTATTGCTGTGTTAAAGCTTGAACTCATTTAATTTTCAGCATTTTGACAGAGAGAGTGGACCAGAGCCAGAATTAAGACGTCGAAAATCATTGGGAACTTTACCAGAAGATCGTAAGTACATAGTATGAACATGTTAACATTTGTTGAACCTTTACAAATATGCATGAAAAAAATTATACTATATATATATATATATATATATATATGAGAGAGAATATGTATCCATATCTATCTATCTATCATTTGTTTACATATTGAGCAGATATAATTGTATGAGAGAAAATCATGGAGCATTGTGGTTTAAAAACAGTAAAAATGACTTGGTTAACCGTAGCTCAATCGGTAAAAGCATGTCAGGATGATATATGATAGTTCTGTATAGGATAAAGATTTGATTCCTGTGGGAGGACGCATATATTCTAGGAACATTTCTTGGACATTCAGGCCGGTAAATGATGTTAATACTGTTTATTATAAACAGAGCATTTGCTAAAATATTTTTATGTATAAACACAAGAAAAGTCTCAAAATAATTGTTGGTTTTTCTCCATAAATACATATTTTAAATAATTCATTCTTCAATATTTTTTTTTTTTTTTCCTAACTTTTACTTTTTTTTTTAAATTACAGAGAAATTCATGTTTTTTTCCAGTTGTCTGTCAAAGTGTTCTTCTGTACAATAGTTTTTTTCTTTTTAATACCAACAATCAATCAATCTATTCTTCAAACAATGCCCTGAGATTTCTATTTAGCATAGGTAATATTGTAAATTTTTATTCCTGTCATTTAAACAGCTGTGTTGCTAATAAATAAAAATAATTGTCAACATTGATTTTTCCATCAAAGTATAAAAAATCTTTACCATTCACTTCTTCAATAATATTTGCCAATAATCTAATACACATATTTAATTAATGTTAACATTCACAATTATTACTGCATTTTAAATTCTTACAATTTCCTCTGAACAAATTCATATAAATAATCAAAGATAAGAAAATAATCAAAGATAAGAAAAATAAAGTGCATGCTTTATCATCATATACCTTGCATGTAAGAAACATTTTTTTTTTCACTTTCTTTTCCTCACAGGTCTCCAACCTGAAAAAACAGTTGATATTTCATCTACAAGATCCTCCCCTATTCCACAGTGCATCCAAAGAGAGAGTCATTCACCATTGATTAATCAAAACAGAAGTAAGTTATATTTTTCATTTTTATCCAATTAGTGTCTGCCTGGATCTGCATAAATTTCAGTTATTTTTCTACTTCACTACATAATTGCACAATAACCCCTTATAATAAAAATCTTTCAAATTTACTGTTAGCAAAACTTTTTTTTTTTGTTTTCTTATAAATCTTTGCAACTTGATCAGCAATAGGGCATTTTGTATAATAAGACAACTCCTTTGTATCTGAAAGATTCTATTTTTACTTACATAGCAATCATTGCCATGTTATATTACAAAAATATAATATTAATCTAAACAAGTCAACTATAATATAAATTCTCATATCACAATTTCTGTATTTCATAATATCAAATAAAATAACCAAGTGTGCTTATCTTTTTCTATCAAAGTTGATTTTATTTATTCTTTATAACACATACTATATTTTACACTAATTTAGTTATGTCAGACATCAATTAGTGAAAAATATCAGAAAGGTGTACTTTCAAATTTTAAGACATTTTCTTTGTAAAGTACCTTTCTTTTTCAATTGATATACAATCATATACCTAACCAATTCTTTAACACGATAACATTTGCAAAAATTAATTAATTGAATTAGTCTTATGCATAAGACTGACACACAAACTGTTAGCCATTTAATTAAATGTTATAATACAAGATTTGCTTGATATTTTATGCAAATATATAATATCACAACTAGATCTATTTAAAAAAAAAAAAAAACTTATGTTCCATTATTATATTTTATATTGATTTTAATTTGTAGGATAAGTGACTTCATTTTCTCATAATTCTTTTTCATATAAAAACAATTTCTTCTGCAATTATTGTCTAAAAAAAAAAAAAACTTACTTTCATTTAAGTTACTCTTCAGTTGAGTGAATTTATTTCGGGAAAAAGAAAAAATATAGGGATACAAAATTGAGCTTGTTGAATGAACAACTGATCTTGTCAAGCCCTGGGTTGTGTTACGATCTCACTGAACGGTATGCTTATTATGTTTGCCATCATAGATGTTATTATTTTCACAGCTCTCATGGGTCTGAGAACAATGTAGACCGTTCACACTCCAAGCTTTCCCCTTTGCACATCATTGATAGCTTTCATTGGTGTATCACAGCATTCCTTGATAGACCATTGATACACATCAATAACAGCATTGCTTTCTAACCATATTTATTCATACTTATATATTTATGCATGCATGTTAGTGTCACCTTGATATAACAAACATGGGTTACCTGAAAAGCATTCACCTGAGCATCAATTGTTCTTTGTTGGAAGAAACAAGTCAATTACAACTTTTTTCCATTTTCTTATAATAACAGAAAATAAATATTTGAATAAAAAATAAATATATTTTGAGTGTGTTACAAGTGTGAGTGAATTCCAATTGTCACAAAAAGAAACTATTCAGTTAAAAATCAATTGTATACTTATTGATAGAGTAAAACTTGTAATTCTTTTAATACATTTTCATTTCATTATATAATTTGCCATCATTCTCACCTCATATTTTCTCAGTACATATTAGGCATTGAAAACTATTCAAAATTTCCAATGAATAATTTTCATTAATGAAATAAAATTACTATGGTTTTAACACATCCACTAGCAAGTATTGTCTAAAAATGACAACTTTTCTACAATTTAATCATTGTAACTTTTACATAAATATGGTGATATCAGTGGTGAACATTTTTATTGGGCATTACATCCTATTGTGTTTTAATCATTTGTCTTTTATGGCTATAATAAAAAGTTGTTTTTATAGTTTCATTTAACTGAGTAAATACCATTTTTTAATAAGTCTTCATATTTTCATTTACATTCAGTTAATATGATTTTCTATTTTCTTCATGAAAACTAAATTTCCTTTTTCTTTACTTCACAAAAAAAAAAAGCAAATCTCAAATTTGTGGGAATTCTCAGTTTTTTTTAAGTACCTCATGATATCAGCTTAATGTAATATGAATCATTCTTTATAGTGATTTAGAATTTGCACATTTTACTTTACAAAACAATTGTCATATATGTAATAAAAACATTTGACAAAAATCATACACTTTTGCTGTTTGCATAGAACACCTTGATTAATAGACAAGCTTTATCTGAATTGTGCTTATTTAGCTAGTACATGGCACTAAACAATATAAAATGTACATTCACTATATTCTACTATCCAAATTTTACCAACCTATTTAAAAATGAAATATAGCAATATAAAAATCAGTTCTTTTACAACATGAAAATACAGACAAACATTGCAGAGACTTATGTCTGCATAACACTTGCCTTTTATACAAGTAAAATATAGGAAAAGTGCTAATCAGTACTTAAAAAAAAATATCTGACTTCCATTTTCTAAATTTGAAAGTAAAATAGACATTAAAAACTATAATCAAACTATACAGCTACAAAATAAAGTTATGTTTTCAGGCCAACTATCAAACATTTTCCATTTTGAATGTATTACAGTAAACAGGAATTCCAATAAGATAAATATTGTAGCAAGAAATGAAAATAAATTTACATTTTCTAATTAATACTAATTTATAATGGCAACATTTGAAAACCTTGAAAAATAAAACCTTGAATTATGAGGATACAGGAATTTAAAAAAACTCAAATACAAATTACATTCAACAACTTATGACTTATTAGGATAAAAACAGTTGGAATTTCACCTTTAAAATGTCTAAATGAATATAAGAAAATCCACTTTATATGAAAGAAATCATATGAAATGTTATGTTTACAATCTTTGGGCATATAATTCATATGAAAACAAAGAGAACTATCAACAACACAAGACTTCAAATGTTCATGTATTTTAGAAAAAAACAAAACAACTACTTGGAGAAATCAATGAAGACATCACACACACACACACACACACACACACACAATGTGTGTACACACAAACAATAAGATAGAAAAATTGCACTGAATGAATATCAATTCTGTATTGAGCTTTTATTGATATTACTTTGAGTATAAATATTAATAGGGGTGTCATGTCTAATGATGGTTTTTGATACATAAATTGAAATTACAAATTCAAAACATGTCAAGTTTGTTGCATTCACTTTACTATAAAGTCCTTGGGAAGGTAAGAATCCATCTTTTCTCCCTCTAGATAAAATAGCATACAATACTGGGTACTCTAACCTAGGAGGAGAAGAACAACAACAAAAACTTTGATTTCAGCTTAGTTGGACAGTGTCAGCAATTTCACCATGTGAAATCTACTTATTACTGAAACTTCAACACAAGCCCTAGGCTTCTCACTCAACAGGTTCAAGATTATAAACTTAAGCTCAGCACAAGCATTGATAGTCTATGATTTTGGAGAAAAATTAAAGGTCTGATATGGTTATCTCCCATCAAAATGACAGTTTTAAACTACCATTATTGATAATGTTCCTTTATTGGAATACAGTGATTGCAAGGAGTGAAAAAGCCTAAGCATCTTAATTTCAAGAGAGATTTCTTTGAAGTGAGGAAACATTTTTTTTCCCATCATACTCATCATTGACAAATAGACAAAATTATCTTTCTCATTTCACTTGTGCATCAACTTGTTTATAAGTATGCAAATGTGTGAATGTGAATAAAATGCAGAAAATTAAGATGTACACACTTCAGCACCTGTATGTATCTGCATGTTTTTAAGATAAAGTGTGAAAAGAAGATGTGGAAGTAGAGATGCACAGGTGTGTCTTTGTATGTTTCTCTTCTGTTGTGTCATGTATGTTTGTGTGCACACATTTGCTTGTGTGCATTTACACTCACTCATTTACCCACTGTTCACGCTGTTATTTTCATGGATATTAATTCTCACAATGTATTTTATAAACTCACATTCAGTACTATAATATTTATCTCTTTATATCAAAATTGATTTAAGCTATTTTTAGCAATTTTCTAAAATAAGTGTTACTTTTATGGTCTTACCTAGCCTGCAAAGAAATAAATATAAAAAAACAAAGGACTTCTCTGGTTAAATTTTTTCTTAAATCTTATTAACTGATACCTTTTTTTATGTCTGTTATGTGGCATCAAAAATAACTTCACAAATGAACTAATGTCAATTTTTTTTTCATGCACAAAAAAAAAAAAAAAAATAAATAAAAATAAATGTGGTGTGTTTTTAATATTTTTATGTTTAACATATTCAATATAAATAAACATTTATAGAGTATAAACTGTTTAGTAATTAGAAATTATATTCAAATATTTGATATACACATTACTTAATCAGCAATTCTCCTTTTTGACAATAAGTCCAGAATATTTATCTTTTATTAGCATCACTTACACATCCATGTCAATACCAAATCAAACTGATATACCAGTGTTTGAGCTTGAGCTAAAACAAAAAACAACAACAAACCAGGACATCAATATTTGGTAATAACCAATCATTGTTAATGTCTAATTTTTCATCAAGATAAATTTTATATTTGGTGTTTGCTATATTGCCTGAACACTGTAAATAAAACAAATTGAGGATCAAATGTTTGTACTTTAATCACTATGTAATGCTAAGTGTCACTCATGCATTTTAAATCTTTACATTCATAAATCCTGACTTTTCAAAAAAAATATGTGGCTGGTTGATTTGCCATCAAATCTTTTCCAGCTGTCCAGTGAACATTTCATTTTTCTGCTTTCTTTAAACTATTTGATATATAGCACGGAATTTTCACCATTTGCAGTTAAACCATAGAAGTTTAATGATGGAAATTATCATCATCCACAGTTAATGAGTTAAACTTTTTTTCCTATTTACTTCTGGCCTATAACAATAAGTGAAACTGGTAAACAGGGGTCAAGTACTACCCTAATCTTGGCTCTATAACCTTTAGGTGACAACCAGTCTAAGGAAAGGACAATTCTGATTTCAAAACTATAGAGAAGGCAATGGGAAATCACTACTAGGTTTCCCAAGAAGTGATAGTAATTCATGAATTAAAAAAAAAAAAAAAAAACTGTAGG